AATTGGAAAACTTGGAGCTTGATATCTCTTTAACCAAAGTTTTACCCTTAACATAAACCTTCTCACTTCTTGTTGGGATGGATTAAGTTGTTGATTGGGATTAAGGAGAGTTTGGCTTCAGTGTCATATTAACAATCCGATTGCCAGATCCGTAATGTTCAATTGTCAATCTTCGTGACGAATTACCCTTTGTGTCCTCAATGAGGTGCAATTCTACCTGGTATGCCAACTTCAGTACTTTGACAAAGACCAAATAGAATTCAATTCCAGTTTATCTTCAATGGTCCCTTCGAAACCGTTGATGTATTTGGCAATTAATTGATTGTTAGACCCATTTAATTCTCCAACAACGAGTCAGTAGAACTCTTCAGTGTATGCATTAAAAGATTTGGAGTCATGGGAACAATATTTAATACAGAAGTTGCTTAATTCTAAACCAACTGCGAACTGCTACTCTGCCTTCTCCTTTTTGCAGCTGATTAAGCTCTAGCCACCACGCCGCTGCCCTGCCTTTTAAACAACATGCTACTTATTTCACTTACTTTTCTGGTGGAATCTCCATATATTCAAAAAAGATTATCCACCGATCGCTTCCATTCTAAATAAAAGTGTGAGTGACCATCAAAGAAGAGAATATCAAATTTCACACGAAACTCACCATAATTTTTTTCACTCCAATTAAAATGATGAAGGTAGCAAGGGAATATTAAAATGGTAAAGATTTAGGTTTAATAATATATTAAAATATTTAAGAATAATCAAAATATTTGAGATTGTATAGTTTGATAACTATTGACAAATCGAATTTATGAGTTATAAGATGAAGCTATGGGAAAAAGTAATGGAATCTAAGTATAGTTTTTATTCAGCTAATGGAAACAATTTTGATGCTAAGATAATTACGGCAGAATTATATAGAAGGAAGAATTGATCATCAAATTATTTTTATTATTCTTAAATATATTAAAATATTTAAGAATAATCAAAATATTTGAGATTGTATAGTTTGATAACTATTGACAAATCGAATTTATGAGTTATAAGATGAAGCTATGGGAAAAAGTAATGGAATCTAAGTATAGTTTTTATTCAGCTAATGGAAACAATTTTGATGCTAAGATAATTACGGCAGAATTATATAGAAGGAAGAATTGATCATCAAATTATTTTTATTATTCTTAAATATATTAAAATATTTAAGAATAATCAAAATATTTGAGACAAAATGTGAAATGAATATATCTGTGATGTGGTTGGTGTCGCTTCGATGACTGACAAATTAAGATAAATTTGTCTTAGATGATTTGATCACATTAAGCGTCGACCATCTCATGATCTGATTAGGAAAGTAGATGTTTTAGATTTGACTTATGCTAAGAAAGGCAGAGGTAGGCCTACGGAGAAAAAGGATTCCTGTAGTGGGATTAAGGCTTTGTTGTTGTTCTTGTTGTTGTGATCACAAATTTAATAATAAAAAAAAGACTGTATATGAAACTTTAGTTTGTCATATAAAATAATAGAAAAAGACTTCATATGAAACTTTAGTTAGTCATATAAAATAATTAAAATTTATTAGCAAGTCTTTTAATATATTATTTAGGGTCATAGAAATAGATACTATTTGTGAATTTAATGTGAACATACGTACTTTTAGAGAGTTTACAAACTTCTATATAAATGTGTGGCAAGAAAGAAGTGCAAAGCCGTGCAGAAGCGAGGGTTGTAAGGTATGGTTGTATCAACTACATATTTGCTAATTACATGCTTTCTATAGAAAATTAAATAACTAATAATGCTTGTTTCTTCCATGCATGTCAACAGGTAATTATCTTTGGGATTAGCATCATCCAGCCTGATGGGTTTCGTATACCATTTTATAGATATGTACAAGTAATATATTATGTGAATAATAAAAGTTACATTTTTTTTTTATTCAGGTCAAAATATTATTCTGGGGGAAGCTACTTCTTTATTGGCCAACGCGGAAAGGTCCGAGAGCTTGGTCTTAACCCAAACAGCCCATATAAATTTTCCTATACATTTAAGTATAATCTAAACGATCCCATCCAAGTTACACTACTTGTTAAGGGCAATGGTTCGTATACAACCAAGGATGCCGTAATTTTTAGCTCTGATCATCTTATAACTCTTGAGTCTGATGAAATTAGCGTTGGTGAAGAATCTGATTATGTTGAGATAGCGGTGTTAAGCAGTGAAGTTAAATACAGGAGGGGGATTTACTTCTATGGCGTCAATCCATCATCAAATAAATAATGGAGTGTCATTTTCGTAATGAAAAAATAAAGAAAGATCAATACCTTGTTTGCTTATTGATCTTTCAATCAAGTATGTTTTACTATTATGTATAAGTTTCATATAATAAGCATCACCGCACTCTTTTTTTTCCAAAAAGTTGTGCAATATGTATTGGATGCATGCATGAATGTTTTAAATGTTATTGAATAATATGTATCAGTTTCTGAATCATTTAATTTTTAATAGTTTATTTTCTTCATTAACTTTATAACTTCGTTATGAGAACTCTTGCCAGAAAGCTCAATTTGATTACTATAAGACAATGTGCTAATTTTTTATTTTATTTTTGCTATTGTTTGATGTCATCAAATTTTTGCTACATTTAGTGGTGATAATTACGTGTAAAAATTGAGAACAAAATCCTTAAATAATAATAAGAAACCAATTAAGAAGAAAAAATGAGAATTGTTATTACATAAAAGTTACTTGACGTACATAATTTTAAATATTTAATTTAAATCAAGGTGGGCAAATAAATGTTTAGGAGTTTTTAGCATTATAATAAACGTATAAACTTAAACATAAATATTTTTTATGTTTTAAGATATAATATAAAAGAAAAAATCATATACACCCTCTTAATTTTTGTAAACTTCTCACTATTCTTCCTCTAATTTCTTATGCTACTTATCTTATTATCACTTTTTCTTTCATTAAAATTGGGGTAGTGCAGTAGTGCATTAATTCCATCTTACCATACATTATGTTGGTACAAACATTTAGATCTCGTGTCAACATGACCCTTCTCTGTAGATATTTGACAAAAATTTAAAGTAATTTCAACATTATGAGAATTTTAAATGTTATGAAGATTTTGTTTATGACTCTCTCTTATAAATATTTGATAAAATATCTTCAAAAATATTTGTTAATGTACCAATTAAGGTTTCTTCCCATTTATCTGAAATAATGAACTTAATATGAATGCAAGTGCATTTGGTAAGCTCGAACTATGTAATGCAATTCATGTGGTTTGTATTAATCATAGGAAGAATCAATTTGAGTTTAGAATTGAAATTGAGGGGAATTGGGGCCAAATTGACGGACATTTGGGATGAATTTGGGAAAATTGGGTCTTTAAAGTCAATTTGGTGGTTTTCGTCAAGATGGTCAAATTGGATTCAATTGAAGGGTCCAAATTGGTTTTAGAGACATTTGAAGTGATTTTGGAGGTTTTGGGAAAGTTTGGTGTGTCAAGAGTATTTTTGTAATTTTTCAAATTTGGGGGTATTTTGATAATTTGGCAATTTTGGGTGGTTTTGGGCAATTTGGGTATTTTGAAATGGTTTGAAAAGATTTTTGAAAAAAATTGGGTATTTTGGGTGAAAAATTGGGTATTTTGGGTGAATTAATTGGGTATTTTGGGTGAATTTGGGAATTTTGGCCAAATTTAGGGTTTGGGAGTGTTTAGGTAATTTGGGTGGAATTAAAGGCAAAAGGCCAAGTTGGATATTTTTGGTAGAATTGGGGTGTCAACCACCATGTGAGAGCTATGAACCAATGAACTCCACCTTTGAGTCTTCTATATACTGATCTTAGCTAAAAATGTGAGTGGATCTAGGTGATAGTGAGTGTAAGTGAGTGAACTAGCTCCAGACCAACACCCAGGGTCAGCCCTAAGGTCCTAAGGTCAAGTAGTCTTATGGGGACTCTCGTTGAGATCTCCCATACTAACCCCACCTACTAAGTGCTAAAAAAGTTTAGAGTTTCTAATGGTGAGGGTTCCTTTTTTAGTTTTCTAGAAATAGTCAACAGAAAAATCATAGGTAATATGTTATGTAAATAAAAAAAAAGTTACCTTTTTTTTATTTTCAGGTCAAAATATTATTCTGGGGGAAGCTACTTCTTTATTGGCCAACGTGGAAAGGTCCCATGAAAATCAATAAGGTAACTAAGGAGAGTGTCATTCTGAATTATTGCATTCAAATAGTATTCAAACTGAAAAACCTGTTGATATTGGAGCCATAATTGTAAAATCGGTGTTTGATTTGATTGTGAAAGGATTGATTGTGAATGGATCTGCAACTAGACTTAGACATTCATCCACTATTTTCTTATTGTGCAGTCAATCACAAGTACCTTATGAAAGTTGGGAAAAAGTTCATCTTCCTTGGAAGTCGATGGATCCTGAAGTCTATTGCAACTGTATTGGAATGGGAAATGAAAATGATATGAATGTATTGATGGATCAAGGATCTCATAATTCATCACCTATTCAACCCTGCTATAATTTGAATGCACTTTTGAAGAGAATCAAGAAGATAGAAAAAGAGGTGTAGAATCTTGTGCATGTGATTGAAAATATTTCTGTAATGCTGGATCATCTCAATTAAAGACTAAAGAAACATTTTGAACATACTGGGAGTATTGAAGATGGTTTGGTACGTATGTTCAAGGATTGGAGAGGATTCAACTAATGAGTTTATATATCGACCCTTCTACAACATGTATGTGCACTACCAATCAATGGGAGACATCCAGGAGGACGATAGTGAAGAAGATGTTTGAACTTAATTTATGTACGGAACATTTTGTTTAGTACTGATTTTTTTAGTTTGTTGATTTGGATTGCATTTCCTGATTTTTGAGCTCAAAATTGAACTCTCACAGAGGGAACCAGAGGGGGAAGATGGTTGGCTTGAGCCTACGGATGCTTGGAGAGTCTTTGGTGAGATTTTGCAGAGTTTCAAGGATTTGGAACTCTCTTCCCTTTGGCCATGAATAGGGGCGTAAACAAACCAAACACGAACGAACAAAGATTGTGTTCGTGTTCAGTTCGTTTGAAATTTAGTTTCTTTGAAATAAGCTCGTGTTTGAAATTGATTGTGAAGTCACTGTTCGTGTTCGTTTCTTAACGAAAGAGTCGAACACGAGTCGTTCGCGAACGTCTAGCCAATTTTACATCCCTAATATTAATATATATAAATAATATATTATATTTATTATATAACTTGTATTATATAAATATATAATATCTATATTAGTATATTA